TCCTGCTGAGGCTCTTACAGGATTTGTAAAGAAACATATCAGTTGCCTCAGTGGGTGCCCTTCAACCATGAAAGATGAGTACTGTGACCACAAAGCCTAGACAAAAATGTTCAAGATTGTTTAGTTCAAGTATGTAGCTGCCTAGTCGAGGAACATAAATTAGTATGGGGCTTTGTGCCTGCAAAAGCAGAGAGCAAGGACCCATCCTTCCAGTTCGCACTGTGAAGGTCCTGCCTTACTATAAAATCTCTCCCCCTCTGGGGCTCTGCTGTAAACACTTCATTGCACAAGTTTCTTCCCTTAGGAACAATAGCAGCTTCCCATGTAGTGCAGTAAATGTTTGAAAACTGGCAAATGAAGTTATCTCAGAGCTGTGAGAAGTTAACAGCGTGCACGATTGTTTGGTTCATATTCACCAAGGTGGCAGACAAGTTTTGCTTGAGTCCAACCAAGCATGCGAGGGGCCCGCAGAGCGTAAATCTCAGTGCGTTCCTCGGTCAGCCAGTCTCGCCCATACCGAAGGGCTCTTTTATTCCAACTTTTCTCAGAACATTAACATTTTATTTTATTTTGGAGCAGGGGCTTTGGTGGGAGCGTAGTCTTTCTGGTCTTAATTGTCTGACTATCAAACCATGATCCTAGCATACTTTGAATGAGCAGCATTGACTGTAGGTCAATGCAGGCCCTAACTTTGTGGGGTAAGGCCATTTTTAGGCCCTTTTGCTCACCTGCTAATGCTGTCATATAGTAGCTGCCCTACATTAAAGACAAAGAACTTTGAAAAAAGATGAAACTGCAGGTGTGCTGGCAACAGTTATAGGAGTGGGAAGGAACGTGACCAGGCTTATGCCAAAAGCTGGAAAAGTTCCCCTTCCCATTACACCTACGTTGTTGAAGAGACGTGCGGTGTGTTTCTCCTCCCCGGATCGTTGTAGGAAGCAAATTCTAAACAAGAAGGGAAGGAAGCACTACCAAGTCGTGCAGTTCAGAAATACATTGTATAAATCCACCCAAAGTATGGTAAACCACCTGGAATAATTAAACACTGAGCAACTAAAAATGCTGAGAATTAACTTGCTTAGATACTAAGATGAGGCATTTTAGAGTTAGATCAAGCTTAAAGGTTCAAAAATAGATGTGTGGGGGCTTAAGTATCTGTTCTTTACTTAGTGAAGTACTCTCCACGTACTAAAGTCTCATTGAAGTCATGTAAGTCATGGAGGAATGTAAGCACGTGCCTAAACTTAACCACATGCTTAAGTGGTTGGCTGGATAGGGATGGGTTGCTGACTGAAGGCTTGGTGGCACGCACGCTCGAAATGGCAGCTGTGATCTTAGGGATTACAAAGGATCTTGCAGTTTTATGATTGTCAGTTGTCCTCAAGGTAGACATACGTGTGTGATTACAGTGTAAGCGCCTGGTTACTCTCCGTGCTTTGCCAATGTACCAGTCACAGGCATAAAGCTTTCATTGCTTCCTTTCTCTTGGCTGGTCTCCAGTGTAAAACAAAACCAAATATGAAAGGGGGTGGAGGAGGGAAAGGGTCAGTTTTGAACATGCTGTTTTACTTTAGGGTCTCAAAAATCTTCTCAGCTCCCGACAGATGTAATAAAACAAATACAATTCCTAAGAAGAGAAATTCATATAACTGTGTTTGTTTAAACATTTTGGTTTTGTGTGGTTTTGGTTTATACTTAAAAAGTTGTTCATCTTTTTTTCTCTTGGAGTGGTCGTAGATAAAAATACATCTTGGATATATCTCCCTCTCCCTTGCTTTTACTCCTCTTTTTTTCACCAGTAGACCTTTTCTCTCGCTGTACTTGTCTCTCAGCTCCTGGCAGAATCTCACAGCCAAATTCAGTCCTGGTCTGTTTAGATGAGAGGGCTCGGCCCATCCTTGATGGTGCATGTTTAGATCAGGATGTAATTAATGGTTGGGCTACATTTGTTTCATTGCTATCCCTCTGAGCAGTTCAGTGCCAGCCCGGGAGGCTCCTTCCTGGCTTCCTCATGATGATCAAAGGATTTGTGTGAGGCCAGCCACTTTTCTGTGAAGGTCAACACTCAGCTTGTTCTGGTCTAATTGGTTCCTCCACTTGCTTTATTGTTCTCTTATTAGCAAATGGCAAGAAATAATTGTTGCTGCCATTTTGAGATTGCATGTTTTCCCAGGAAGAAACATATCGCCTGACTTTTTTAGAAGGGGGCAGCTTTCAACCTGTATCTTTTCAAAACTTTTGGTAGGTGAAAAACACGACAGGCTGGCCGGCCCTCGAAACATCAAATCGCCGGTATCAAAACTTGGCGGTGCCATGTCTGGATTGCAGATGCTTCCCGAGTGTACCCGATGTGGAAACGGGATTGTGTAAGTACTTGAATCTCTCCAGAGTGTTCACGTTCTGTAATACCGTGGAGTAGAGCAAAGCTGTTAGCTGTCCACAGGCATTTAACTGCTCCGTTCACCTAATAGAAGTGCATATGCTAAAATTCATGGCAGAGGCTGACTGGTCTTATTTGTCAACCAGTTCCTGGGCATAAGATTCAAAACAGGAATAAGGCATTACACAAGGCGTGGATTTTTGAGGGAGACGGTGCCAGAGAGCCACCCTGGAATGGGAAGGGTGTTGCAGGGGAAGGGAGCGGTGTGCAGGAAGAAGGAAACCATGGGGAGATCTAGGCAAGAGGTGAGGAAGTCACAAGGTATTTGGGAAGTGGGAAGTATAAGAGCTGAAGCATGTGCTGAAGTAAGCCATTATATGACTAGAGGGTTGACTAGAGGGAAAGACCTTAGATGGCTAGCAAAGGGAGCAAAGACAGTATCATGGAGACCAGGGAGGTGGAAAAAATTGTAGACGTCTCTCAGCGCCACAATGCGAAAGATTGTAGACGTCTCACAAAGCCCTTTATTTCCACATTTCCTTTTTACGCGGGGCACACGCTTGCTGCTGCTGTGACACAGCGCTTGGTTTTTAACCTTCTTTCTCCTGCTTTCCACAGAGGGACGATCGTCAAAGCCCGGGACAAGCTCTACCACCCAGAATGCTTCATGTGCGATGACTGTGGCCTAAACCTGAAGCATAGGGGGTATTTCTTCATTGAGGAGCAGCTGTACTGCGAAACGCATGCAAAGGAAAGGGTTAAGCCCCCGGAAGGCTATGACGTGGTAGCTGTTTATCCAAATGCTAAAGTTGAACTTGTCTAAACCCATACTCTATTCCTGGAGAGGTCAGAAGGTGGCTCGCCCACCCACACGCATGGCGCTAGTTTTAAAATATGGCTGTAATCAACTCTGATGACTGGAGTCTCAGTAAAATGCCTTTTTATAGATAAAACGGTTTACACTAGGGATCTCCAAGGGATGGTGTTGAAAGCGTATGAGCAGGTTTTTTCCTTCCTTTTGACACTCTGCTTTGGGGTTTTTAGTTCCTGCCATAGCTTTGTCCAAGATCTGTGTAAATATTGATTAATTTTCTACTTTGTTTCATATAAAACCAGTATTCTTTTTTTTTTCCCCTCTTCATTTTAAAATGTAAGGAAAACATTTTAAAAAACGCAAAAGGAAATAAGGCACTTTAAGAAAAAAACCAGACTTTTATTGCATTGCTTTCATTTCATACCTTTCAGTAATACATGCCGCTGCAGCTTTCAGAGTGATAAAAGATTGAAGCCATGTGGAAACTAAGCACAGTAACTGCAATGTAGCATTGATGATGGAGTGAAAGAGTCTCTAAGCTAAATCTGATCTCACATAGAGGTGACTGTGGAAAAAAAAGATATTTAAAATAGTAACGCATTAAATCGCGTTTAAATCGCATAGCCTTACTCTAGGTCTACAAGCCTCCTCTGACTTTTTATCAAAGAGAATTAACCTTCACACTTGGCACCTCCAATCCATAGCGTGGTTTTTTCCTTCTGTTTTTGGTTTTGTTATAGCTCTGTTCCTAATACCCTCTGTCATCCGGCACTCTCTGACTCCACATCCCCAAGGGGTGCCCAATTTCTAAGTGTCTGGAGCCACAGTAGAGCAAGCCACAGGCCCCCTGAGCCATGTGCAGCCCATGGGCCAGTGTCAGACATCCCTGCCCTAGGGCACTGTGTGCACCTATACATGTGACAGAGCTGTGCTCTGACTCATCCTAATTAGCACACATCAGAGCAAACTCGATTAATTGAGCCTGCTGTGAGTCTTCTGGAGCGTGCTAATTAGTGTGCTCCAGCAGCCTCCATGTCATGTGTATCCAGCGTCCCGTGTATTCAGCATCGAACGAGCTCTAGTTAAAGTGCTCCCGCCACCATTTTGAAGCGTGGGGCACTGAATACATGTGATACTGTGGGCACTTTAATTAGAGCGGCTCTAAGAACTGTCCTAATTAAAGCGTCCCTCCCTCCAACCCAGAGCGTGTGTATAGATGCCCTGTGGAAACAGCAGCATTAAAATAGTCCTGGGGCCACCTGGCTTAGTCCTAAACTGTTTTTTGGTGTTCAAGTTTCTGATTTCTCTGTTCTCCCTCCATTAAAGTTATTCCTGCTTTGTCCATGATGGACCTGATCTAGCTTTGGTTATATTTTTAGCTGTCTTTAGAATTATACATCACCCTCTGTGCCTTTTGTTACCAGTTCAGTAAAACTAAGCAGCTTAGACACTGTTTTCCTGTATGAAGTTCACCTCCCTGCTACTGATCTCCCATGAGAAGAGGCAGTAGGCAGATGCTGTTACAATAATTACTGTGTTCTAGGCCGCAGGTGTGACGTTGCACTCCAGACAGTGCTATAGTGCCTGCCATGGGAAAGTGGTGCCTCCGTGTCCCCTTCCCTCCCAGTGTAGTCACCAGGAGACAGGCTGCTTAGTGAGGATTTGAACTGTACAAACAGCCTAAAAACAGAAAGGAAAAAAAATCACCTATTTGCATCGAAGTCAGGGTTAAAGTGCACACTGCTACAGTTCCTGTACCCTGTTCAGAGAGCTGGTTTCTTCCTCCTGCTTAAAAAGCAGCAAACAGGAACTGTGAGGGAAGCAGGAACTCGCCCTCGGCCGTCCATCTGACTCCAAGTAAAGCCTTCAGTGCAAGCTGATGAGTTGGCTTTAGGAGCAGATGTCCTTTGCTCACTCTCTAGAAAAGAATGCACAGCGAAACCTCTGAAAAAGATATCATTGCTTGGGACTATTTCTACTGAACCACAGTCACCTCCTTTCCCTAACCCACGCACCTGGGCCAGCTGTATTGTGAAAAAAGAAATGTGTCCCACTTGCATTATAGTTGCCCCTTCTCTGCAGACTGAAAAGAATATTAATAGGACATCTGGGCAGCTGCTCTTTCTTATGCTGGTTTTGCATGGAAAGAGTCTGAGAAAAGGGAAAAAAGAAAGGGCACAAATATTATTGAGGCCAGTGCTGGGCATGGAAGTCACCTACTGAAAGATTCTTCTGCCAAGTGCTGCAGCTCACAGGGAGGGCTTCAAAATATCAGATTTGCTATTGCGTTTGAAGTTGTGGGCCTCAGAGAGCAGGATTGCTCTGTGTCCCACTTTTGGTAGGTCGATTTATGCTGGGAAGAGCAAATGGCAAAAGAATATAATGGAAACTGCTAATGTTGCAGCCGTAGGGTTTAGGATTTTTCAGTACTGAATGTCCTTGTCGAGCTGGCAGGGTTTATCACAAGTTTGTGCTGGGAAATCATGAATCCAAAGAGCAGCTGCACTGAAGAGCTCAGTATTTAGTAAATGTAAGGATGCCACTTCTCTTTGTGTGCGTGCCTAGCTCTTTTGGCAGCAGGGCAAGGCATTTCTCTGCAGGAGAAAGGCCTGCTGTGCACATTCCAGCTAACAATAATGTATCACAATTCCCTCCAGTGATGAGGGCTTCTAATTATTAAAGTGCAGCTAATGCACAAAGGCTGTCATACAATCGAGTCTCTTCTTTTTCCCCCTTGCATATCATTAGACTTGGTTAATGGTTTGGACCATTTAAGCATAAATACTTTGGACAACTGTAAATGATTAGGGGGTTAGCAGTATTCAAGTATAAAATATTATTGCTCTGTGTTTGAGGCCAGTACTGGGAATGTATTATTTTGCAATTGTCATTAACATTCACTTGGACTTTTTTATTAGCCTTGTATGTTCCTGGGTCAAGCTTAATTGGCTACAGTGCATTTTATGAAGTGGGCTCCTGTCTTACCTAATTCTGAAGTTGTAAAGTAGATTTGCTTTTCATACAGACCAGCACATCAGTGTTAACTATTGGGCCCTTTTGCAGTTTCTTTCATAGAATCATAGAAAATGAGAGTTAGAAGGGACCTCAGGAGGTCATCTAGTCCAACCCCCCATTCAAAGTAGGACCAGCCCCAAATATATCGTCCTAGCCAGGGCTCTGTCTAGCCAAGTCTTAAAACCTCCAAGGATGGAGATTCCACCACCTCTCTGGGTAACCTGTCCAGTGCTTTACTACCCTCCTAGTAAGAGAGGTTTTTTTCCTAATATCGAACCTAAACTTCCCTTGCTGCAACTTGAGACCACTGCTCCTTGTTCTGTCACCTGCCACTGCTGAGAACAGTCCAGCTCTGTCCTCTTTTGAACCCCGCTTTAGGTAGTTGAAATCTGTTATTAAATCCCCCTCAGTCTTCTCTTCTCCAGACTAAATAAGCCCACTTCCCTCAGCCTGTCCTCATTAAGTCATGTCCCCCAGTCCCTTAGCCATGTTCATTGCCCTTTGCTGGATTCTCTCCAATTTGTTCACATCCTTTCTGTGCTGGGGGGCCCAAAACTGGACACAGTACTCCAGATGTGGCCTCACCAGTGCCAAATCGAGAGGAAGAATCACTTCCCCACCTCTGCTGGCAGCACTCCTACTAATGCAGCTCAGTATGCATTTAGGCTTTTTTGCAAGATGGGCACACTGTTGGCTCATATTGATCTGATTGTCCACTGTGACCCCCGAGTGCTTTTCTGCAGAGCTCTGCTTAGCCTGTCAGTCCCCAGCCTGTACCAGTGTGTGGGATTGTTCCGTCCTAAGTGCAGGACTTTGCACTTGTCCTCATTGAACCTAATGAGATTTCTTTTGATCTAATCCTCCAATTTGTCTATGGATCTGAATCCTAGCTCTACCTTCCAGTGTATCTACTGCTCCCTCCAGCTTGGTGTCATCTGTAGACCTGCTGAGGGTGCACTCCATCCCATCTTCCAGGTCATTGATGAAGATATTGAATAAAACCAGTCCCAGGACTGAACTCTGGGGCACACCATTTGATACCAGCTGCCAACTAAAGCCATTGATTACTACCCTCTGAGCTTGGTGATCCCGACAATTATTTCTATATATATATTAGTTATGGCTCATCTCCTCTAACTTTTATTGCTCTAACTTAAAGGTCATGCCCACTTGCTCACATGAAAGGTCGTAGACAGCAAGGGGGCAGAAGTCAAGGAGTATGGGTTCTCTTTCCAAATATGGCATTGGCTTCTGTGGGACATTGGGCAAATAACCTCTTTCTGCTTCCATGTCTCCATCCATAAAACAAGGATGAGACTTCCTCCTAAGGGTGTTGTGAAGCAGATTTCATTCATGATCATGAAATGCATAGGAATAAAGGAATAAATTACAGAAAGTTAAAAAGGTGGTAAGGACTCCCCATGCAACACTTGCTCTTACCCCACAGTAAGTGTAGGCTAACACTGGCCTGCTTACCTCCGTGGAACATGGCTAAGTTTCTACAGGTTAGCTTTCTCTTGTCCCACTGTAAGAACAGGCCCATGGACAGTTACCACAGAGCTGCAGGCACATGGAAAGTATCTGATGTGGAGTAGGTTATTGCCTACAAAAGCCCATGCCTTTGAAGCAGTTAGTTTCTGAGGCCCCCTGCCTTAACTTCTGCCTGATTTCAGACTAGCATAGATTGTCACCTCTAGCTTCAGATTTTAGCTCACTGTAATTTGTGTATCTGTACCCTGAAACAAAAGATGACAGAGATGCTGTGGTGTCCTTTTATGAAAAAACAAAGAGATAACAATGAAAAGTCATTTCTGTCCATTGCAAGGATCCGGAAGTCACAGCATAACAGCATCAGGTACCGGACAAAAGTGTATATGCCCATTAGATATGTGTGGCTCCAGCTGGTCACATGACGGGCTTCTGGTTCCTGCAGAGATTTCTTATTCATAAAGTTGAACATCCTCTCCAGGTGATTACCCATTTTCTCATTACGCGACAATTCGCAGCAGCAAAGGATGCTAGCCAGCACTCAACAGGCATGGATCTTATGCTTACCTGGCAATCTGCAGGAAGCATCATCACTGAGAGGCTTTACAAGCAAACAAGACTGGATTGAAGCAGAGCTGGACAGGAGGCCATGCTCTATGGGGCCTGGTCTCACCAGCTTTTTCTAATTTAATGTTGCAAGAATTACACGCTTGCTAGGTTTGGCCATCTATCACTTCTCAGTACCTTTGTGTCTCCTGTTCAACTTCATGTGTAAGGCTATTTTTCACACCGCAGCTGCTCAGTGTGAACTTCAGATGTGTTGCAACCCGAACATGAGGCGCACCTTAGAAATTCATACATTGTTTCATTGCCCTGGTGTATGGAACATATAAATCATTTAGGTGCAGGATCCTCCATAGCCTAGTCCAGCTGCTAAATAATGCCGGTGAGCTCAGAGCTGGGGGACTGTGATGCACCTCGCTCTTCAGTTGAAAGTAGGCTTCCACAAATCATTTTTTCCACACGCTTGTCTCCTGGCTCCTTTTTCTTATGAGTAATCAACTCATTCAATCCCCCTGAGCTGCTTGAAACAGAGCCACCTCGCAAAATAATATCCTGTGGCAAATTGGTTCCTGGACTCATTCCATTTCATTTACATTATTTGTCTTGTAACAAATTACTAAAATCAGCATGCTGTTTTACCTGCCTCACCAGGCTGGGGCAGAAACAAACCTTGCAAACACTGTCAGTGTCTGTTAACTCAATTATTTAACTCTGTAACGCGTTTGGCAAATGCAGTTTGTTTGAATACAAAATAAAGTTGTATTGTTGGTTTCCCGTCTCCCGTTTAATTATATTTTGGCCACGGTTTCAACAGCAGGGCCTATTCTCCCACTGGTATGTATACATCATACGCACACTGATGTTCCCACAGTATCGAGATGCAGGTGGATACCAGATTGGCCATTGCATAAACATTAAAAAGAATGCATTCTCAGTATATCCGTATTGCCTTTGGGAAATCATCTCGATTTATGGCAGCCTTATTTTCATAGTGGGATGCAAGTCCTGCTATACGGAGCAAATTGTGTTGTATACACAGTGGAATTAATTTTGTTTGAATGTGTAGGCACCTAGGTTTTGTTGCTCATCCTATGAAGGAGCTCTCATTACTTTTCCTGCCTGGTAAGAAAGCATGGCCGTGATCCCTGCAAAAGGAATCCATTTCCTCCAGGCCCAGGGTATAGTCCAATTAAGAATGCTGAACGTGTTCCTCCTATTATCAGCTTTTAGAAATGTATCCTGCAGGGACATGCCCTTTGTACCAGATCTGTTTCAATAAGGACAGAACAGTCACACGTTCTGTCCTTTGTGGCTTTGTTAAGGTCCTGTCTCGTCCCTACATGAGTCACTTACAGACGAGTCTGCCTCTTGTGTTTATAGTACAGATAACAGAGGGTTTTATTTCTGAGAACAGCATACAATGTGAAGTAAAAAAAATGCAGATGC